TTGTTGTTTTACTATATGCACAGGCCAGCTTAGATATCTCCTTCTTCATTCCAATGGCAAGTCCAGGAACCGGTGGGATGAATGCAGCTACAACTGCAACAGCACCAGGATCTTTGTTGAAGTTTTTTGATGATCATCTTCTGGAATGACTCTTCCAGAGGATATTGATGTTGGAAGTTCTTCTTCATATCGTATCTTAGTTCATTTTCTGGGTAGCCAAATTAGGCTTTGATCCTCTGTATAAACACAAACAAACCCTTTGTCCACACTTTGATACGACCTTTATACCATTGTGAAGAACCTATTGGAGATCAACTGTGGTTGTGTTTTTTACCTCTTTATTGTTGTGCTACATTCTAGCTAATTTTTTTAGATCTGTCTTCCAGTTTATTCAGTACATTTTCAATTACTGTGTCTCATAAGCTATTTAACCCTTCTACTGAGTTGGTAATTTCTAATCTTGGCATCGTGCAGGCAAAAAATATTTTTAAAAACAAGTATTTTGGGATGTTGGATCGACTTGCTTGGATATAAAAGTCATTATAATTTATATTATAAAAAATATGAAGTGGAGACTTTTCATGTTCTCCCTATTGCTACTTCTAATTTGCAAACTCTGAAAAGATACCAAGTAAAATAAAATTTTCTACTCTATTACGTTTTTGTCATAAATCATATTTTATTCATATGTGCTTGTTTATATAAGCTTTAACATGGTCATGGTTGATGCAAGACATGGTGGGCAGTGGAGAAGCAGCAGTAGTTGTGAGAGGATATAGTGTATGAATAAGAATTTAATGTGTCATTTGAAATTTATATTATAGCAGAATAATAGCATATGCATCAATATTTTTTCTCTACATGTTGATTGGAATTAGACTAAATAGACTAAAAATAATAATAAAGGTAAGATAATCATTGAATATTTAGATGAACTGATATTTTTTTACATTTTTTATACTGCATTTTAAGCTTAATGAATGTATATTATTTTAAAATTCAGTTACAAAGGGTTTATTTTTAAATGTCACAGTTTCCAGAAAATTAAGATGAAAGGGATTGGAATCTCTGTTTTGGGGAGGGCAAGTATAATAACAAATGTGTTCATCCTTATGGTAATCACAATAACATTTACTTACTTACTATTCGTTGAGGTGTAACTAAATGACTAATAACAAAATTATCCTTATAGGAGAAATCTGTAAATAATATTTTTCAGCATTTTTCTTATTCTACAAGCAATTTAATATTTTTACTATGGGTGAAAGCAATATTTTTTATATTATCTGGAACATAATATTGTTTAGTTTTATATTTTATCCGGTAAAATTTATTTTATGATATAAGTGTAAAATAAACATACTTTATTTTATATACAGTGAAGATTGGCAAATGTCTGGGTCAGGATCTCCGTCTCAGTCTGGTTCAGATTCAGAATCTGAAGGAGATAAAAGCAGTTGTGATGAAACAGAATCTGATTATGAGCCAAAAAACAAAGTTAAAAGCAGAAAATCTCAAAATAGGTAAGTATATCCTATTCTCAGTTGATGCTGAAAATTGTTGGTTGCAGAAGGTATTCAATTCTGAAATCTTGTTTTATTACAGTGTTTCTGTAAAACACCTCCCCCTGGTCTTCCCTAGATCTAAGTCAAAGAATGGGAAGAAGATTCTTGGACAAAAAAAGAGACAGATTGATTCATCTGAGGAGGAAGAGGATGATGAAGAAGATTATGATAATGATAAAAGAAGTTCTCGTCGCCAAGCAACTGTCAATGTTAGCTATAAGGAAGATGAAGAAATGAAAACAGATTCTGATGACCTACTTGAAGTCTGTGGTGAGGATGTTCCTCAACCTGAGGAAGAAGAATTTGAAACAATAGAACGATTTATGGACTGTCGGATTGGGAGAAAAGGAGGTATTTTTTTTTTAATACTTTTGTTAATGTAGGCACTTTCAGTTTCACAGTTTGGTTTTTAAATTGTTTTTTCCTTTAATCCATATATGTGGATTATTTTTAGTTATCTTGATGTGCATTTTTTTCTTTCCATTTTATTGAGAGATAATTGGCACACAGCATTATGTAAATTTAAAGTGGATAGGATAAGGACCTACATATATTATAAAATGATTACCATAATAACTTTAGTTAACAACCATCATTTCATAGATGTGAGGATTTTTAGAATCTACTCTTTAAGCAACTTTCAGATATAATATACAGCAGTGTTAACTGTAGTCATCATGTTGTATGGTTACAACATAGTACTTATTATCTTGTAACTGGAACTTTGTACCTTTTGATCACCTTCATCGTATCCCCCACAAACCCTGGCTACAAATCTGATCTCGTTTTCTGTAAGGTGTTTTTTGTTGTTGTTGTTTTTATCAAATATGTAAGATCTTGCAGTATTTGTCTTTCTATCTGTCTTAGCATAATGCCCTTAATATCCATCTATGTTGTAAATGGCAGCACTTCCTTTTATGGCCGAGTAGTGTTTCTATGTGTGTGTGTCTATCACATTTTCCTTATCCATTCATCTGTTTATGGATACTTCAATTGGTTTCATGTCTTAGCTATTGTAAATAATGCTGCATTGAACGTGGGGGTGCAGATATCTCTTCAGCATAGTAATTCTGGTCATGCAATTTTTAAAGATGATTTTAAATTATTCTAATTTCCAATTTTCAGTCTCCCAATCATCACTTATTATAAATTGCTATATGATCATAGGTGTGTCATTCTTTTTATTAATTTAAAGCTGAGGGTATTAAATTAGATCATCTTCTCCAAAATTCTGAGTTTCTTTTATATATGTTTAATATAATTGCCCATAAACTCTTGTATCCTGATATTTTACTTATTTAAAAATGAGAGCATATATTTTTTTATTCATACTCTTTAATTTTTGAGTCGAAAGCAAATATGTAACATAATTACATGAATGTATTATGCTTTCTTTTTCAGCCACTGGTGCTACTACAACCATCTATGCAGTTGAAGCAGATGGTGACCCAAATGCAGAATTTGAAAAAAACAAGGAACCAGGAGAGATCCAATATTTAATTAAGTGGAAAGGCTGGTCCCATATCCACAATACTTGGGAGACAGAAGAAACCCTTAAACAGCAGAATGTTAGAGGAATGAAAAAATTGGATAATTATAAGAAAAAAGACCAGGAGACAAAAAGATGGTAAATATGTTTTATATTATGCTTGATTTTTTTATAGTTCAAAAATTACTACTAGGGTTTTTTTGTTTAAAAAAATACATAGCCAAGAATCAAATGATAAGCTAAAACAACTATTTCTACATAGACTTACCAGTATTTCATCTCAAGGTAAAACTTAGGAACAGCCATTTCTAAACTCTTCCTGATAACAGTAACGTTAGAATGAATCTCCTAAATTACAAATTTTTAAAGTTAAAAATTAATGATGCTTTATTTCTGTTTGAATTTCTTCATTATGATAAGTGGAAAAAGAGTTTGTGTTACAGATAGTAGTGGGGGGTGTGGGTTATTCAGAGGAGATTTTGAAGTCTATTCCTGCATTAATAATCTTTCAGGTTGAAAAATGCTTCTCCAGAAGATGTGGAATATTATAATTGCCAGCAGGAACTTACAGATGATCTACATAAACAGTATCAAATAGTGGAACGAATAATTGGTTAGTAATAAATGATTCTAAAAAACTTTTCTCTTTCCATGCTTGAAATCATCCTTAAAAACTCCTGAATTTACTGCTTATACATCAAATACAGTAGCTTTCTCTTACTATAATAGAGGATATTAAACCAGATGACTAATTTTTATTTGTGTAATTTTTACTAAGAGTTATTACTTTGGTAAGTTTATGTAACCAATAAATTTTTTTTTAAACCTGATTTGTGTCACAGCTCATTCCAATCAAAAGTCAGCAGCTGGTTATCCTGATTATTATTGCAAGTGGCAGGGCCTTCCATACTCAGAGTGCAGCTGGGAAGATGGAGCTCTCATTTCCAAAAAGTTTCAAGCATGCATAGATGAGTATTTTAGCAGGAATCAGTCAAAAACCACTCCTTTTAAAGATTGCAAAGTGAGTATTATTTAACATTTTTAATGACTGAAAGTATATTTATGCATCATAAATAATAGAAGCCTAAATAGAGAGTTGGATCCTGATTTCAGACAGGCTGAGGGAAAGAACTGCTTGATTGCTAGAGGTTATAAGAAATGATGTCCCTGTAACTGGTCTTAGATGTGGCACTGTCTTTTTAGCCTTGGTGAGTGAAACTGCTAGAAAGATTATAAATTGGTGGTCAGTGTGGGGAGTGGACTAGGGAAACCAAACCAAATAGGAAAAATGTCTTAGGGAAGTAGGCGTGGTATGAAGGGTAGTAAATATTTTCTCTGAAGGTAAGAAAGGAAGAGAGGGATGTGCCCATAAGAAAGTATCGAGGACTACCTTGTGTAATACATCTTTGTATTTCAAGTTAGTATTAATGATAGTTTAGGGGTCCATGTAGTACTACAGTTTGTTTTCTTAGAAGATTAAGTTAAATTCATAATGGTAATTTAGAAATCAGAAATCAAATGTGAAGTCAAGCCAATTTTATGGTTTATTTCTAGGTCACAGCTGGAGCAATAGTTGAATGAATTTAACATAGCTGTTTGCTTTTGAAATACATGAAACCCAACTATTTCGGTAGACACTTAACTCTTAATTTTTTGTTAAAAAAAAGGTGAAATATTTGACTCTACATTCTGGTTATAGTAATAGGAAACAGTCATCTTCAACTGAATCCTCAGGTGTAGTTTGAGTCATGGAATTTCTAAGCCTGATGATTTGAGATGAAATCTCGGATTTTATGATCAAAGCTGAGATTTTCATCTTCTAATATAATTTCTTATATTTAATAATTGTTCATGTGACATTTATTTTTATTAAAGGTATTAAAACAAAGGCCAAGATTTGTAGCCCTAAAGAAGCAGCCATCCTATATTGGAGGACATGAAGGATTAGAACTAAGAGATTATCAACTGAATGGTTTAAATTGGCTTGCTCATTCTTGGTGCAAGTAAGTAGAATTTTACAAATAAAACATTTATTTGTAAGGGTTTGAATTTTTACAAATAAAAGATTTGGAAAATGTTCACCAACATGAAGATTAAGACCCTTTGATATTTATATTTAGGTCTTTCAATTTCCCAGTATGTGAATAACTTACTACATACTAAGAAGAAAATCTAGTGGAGTTTGAGTTAACCTTTTTGTTGCAGTAATTCAATAAGTTTTTATTGAACTGAAAACCAAAATATATATACATTCTTATTCCACACTAGTCTGGACTATTCTTCTTACTCCCAGTTATTTCTAATGCTCATTTAGCTCTTATTTTTTTTCTTTCTCCTTTGTCCCCTCCTCTATTTGTAGGAATATAGGTGACCCTAGCGTGCATTTTTTTTAACCTCCCATAGCTGTAGTTTTTTGCTGGTGTGTTCTCTTTCTGCTTACTTTTTACTTAATATATCAGGACTCTACCACTTGTACATAATTAACTAAAGATATACTGTCACTTCTCATGCATTTTCTAACCTAAAATTATGATAAACTACATCCACTTCTCTTACATTATTACAAAGGCCTTTACATTTATTATTTATAACTAGTGAACGTTTTATATGTTATATATAATACCTATCAGATTAATTTTATTTAACTATTCATATAATATAAACTTGCACATGGGTTATGTAAAAAGATTTCTTTGTAAATTTTAATATTTATTGCATGCATTATTTTGTTTTTAACTTTATAGAGGAAATAGTTGCATACTTGCTGATGAAATGGGCCTTGGAAAAACAATACAGACGATCTCATTTCTGAACTATTTGTTTCATGAACATCAATTATATGGACCTTTTCTATTAGTAGTACCACTTTCCACACTCACTTCCTGGCAAAGGGAAATTCAGACATGGGCTTCTCAAATGAATGCTGTGGTTTATTTAGGCGACATTAACAGCAGAAACATGGTAAGTTGCTTCTCCATAAATTTAAAAATATAGGCATGCTTGTCTTTAAGGATCTCGATAGTCTTAATTTCTATCTTTGCTGCTGGAGTAGGTGCTTAATACATGGTTTAATTGGCTGTAATAAAAATCAGCTTTTGGTTTAATGTTACTTCATATGTATCTTTTTTCCTATCTGTCATAGGAACGTTTCAGATATATGTGAAAGCAGACAGAGTATAATAAAACTCCATGTGTCCATCTGCAACTTCAAAATTTTAATCTTTGCCAACTTTTTTCATCCTCTGTACCTCTACAGTGTACTTTCCTCCCTCCTAATTATGAAGCAAACCCCAAAATATTTCATCCCTAAGTGTTATGTTATTAAATGAGTTAATCATTTGTGTTTTGTTGAAGGAGAACTTTCTTCAGTTCTTAAAAACTTGTGCTTTATTTTATATATAAAATGTTTCGATGTGCTGTGGTATTTTATTTATGATAGGTAAGATCAGCATAGCCTGCTGGACTATATAAAGAATAACTGAAAGTTTTATTACATACATACATAGCTTTTTGTGTATTTTGAATAGATTTCATTTTAGATACTCAAATAAATATACCTAAAAAAATTAGTGTTAAATGGGTACACTCAATTTTGCAAAGTAATGTTTACCTTAAAATTGCCTTTAAAATTTCTTGATAGATCAGAACTCATGAATGGATGCATCCCCAGACCAAACGGTTAAAATTTAATATACTATTAACAACTTATGAAATTCTGTTAAAGGATAAGGTATGTATTACACGTTTTTCTGTTCAGTGTATATCAATTTTACGTTTACTATATGTTGTGGATAGGATAAAAATACAAATAAGGGTCAACAAACTACAGCCTGTGGGTCAACTCTGGCTTTTTTTTTATGACCCATGAACTAACAATGATTTTTACATTTTTAAAGGGCTGTAGAAACAAACCACAGAAAATATCAGAGATCTCCCACCACACATTTGTCTGCAAAATCTGAAATGTTTACCATCTGACTTTTTACAGGAAAAGTTTGTCAACTTTTTGCTGACTTAAAGGAAAATAGTTTGTGTAGGTTTGATTTGTGAGGTCTTTAAGAAGAGAAGATACCTAACAGGATTAAGAAACTATCAGTGGGTGAAACACTGCTAAATGCTTTATAACTATTATTTTATTAAATTCTTTATATTAGTATCTGAAATAATTCCCAACTATTTTATAATATATTGCTATCTCTATTGGAAAGAAAAGTCAAGTCTTAAAGAAGTTAATGAACTTGCTTAGTCAATACAACTATTAAGGAACAGAGTCAGGCCTGTATCTGTTTTAAATCAGAGACCCACATTTATATATTAGATATGCACTGTTCATGAAAATCATAGAGTGAATTATATCTACACTTGGAGTAAGATAGTGTTCTTATGTACTCCAAACTGGCATTAATAGAGGCTTCTACTGGGTATATAGACTAAAAATCTTCTGTAAAAATTTTACATGATACTATTGTTTTTCTTCCTTTCCAGTGTAAAAATTTGACTTGATATTAATGCTGTTTTCTAATGGTAAAATTAGTCACAGAAGGAACTTCATTTTGCATAATGAATTACTTGACTTGAGGATTCTAATAAATCTTGAAATAATTTTTATTTGAAAACTAGACTAAAGTTTGTCTTTTATTTTGATTTGCTTCATACTAATAATATAAATTCATGTCAAATGGGAGGCTAAGTTAGAATACCATTTTTCTCTCAAAGTATTAACTATGTTTTTCTGTTCATTTTAAGGCATTCCTTGGAGGTCTAAATTGGGCATTTATAGGTGTAGATGAAGCACATCGATTAAAGAATGATGATTCTCTCCTATATAAAACTTTAATAGACTTTAAGTCCAATCACCGTCTCCTTATCACTGGAACTCCTCTACAAAACTCCCTCAAAGAGCTCTGGTCTTTGCTACATTTCATTATGCCAGAAAAGTAAGATAAATTGGGATATAGAATTTTAATGTTTTGTATGCTAAGTTTATCAGGAAAATAATTAGTTGTAGTTAATAAGGTTAATAAGAAGTTTTATTGCCCTTAAACAGTGGGCCACAGATTACTTAGAAGTAGGGAGTGAAAGGAAATGGGCTGGAATATTTCATATTTTCAGTAATAATTTAATTTTTCAATTTTGAAAATAAATAAGCTTGAGCCGTGTATAATAAATTACAACAGTTGATTTTGCCCATGATCAGAGTATACCCTGCTTGAAAAACTAACAATATCGTTCTTAGTATTTAACAATAGCAAATAAAGAAAACTAGACTAGATAAGGATAAATAACTTGTCCAAGGTTGCATACATTTTCTGTTTCAATAGATTCAGAACTTTAAAATTATTCTTTTGAGAACTACTTTAGTGGCAATTGCTTTCATATTTGAAAATGCTTCCATATTTACTTCAGGAGAAAATAAATCTTATAAAACGATTTCTTGTATTTCTCCTTATAGATATATGGTGGATTTCTCAGGAAGGATAGTTACTAGTAGTAGTAAATTTTTCTTTAAAACTCTATGTTTTGTTTATATGTGACTACCCTGGAAAATCTCATATGCAGTTTTACTTCTTTTGGTGATTCTTCCATTTTCTTAAATTTTTAAGGTTTTCTTCCTGGGAAGATTTTGAAGAAGAACATGGCAAAGGCAGAGAATATGGTTATGCAAGCCTTCACAAAGAGCTTGAGCCGTTTCTGTTACGCAGAGTTAAAAAAGATGTGGAAAAATCTCTTCCTGCCAAGGTTGAGCAGATTCTAAGAATGGAAATGAGTGCTTTACAGAAACAATATTACAAGTAAGATATAAAAAGAGCTCATGTTCTGAACAAAGTCTAAATAACCCTCCTGTCCCTGTCTCATCAAGGTGCCTCCGTCACCCCAATAGGGTCTTAAAGAGTAATAGCAATTCTTGAATTTTAGACTAGGTTCATTCAATTGTATATTGGAATAAAGAGAGATTTAATGGCAAGTTCAAGATCATAGGTGACAAGACTACATGATTCATCATTAATTGCTTTTCTCTCTTTAATGCTCTTACCTTATAGAGGGTTTCTTACATTAGGATTTCCATGATGCTAAGGCATTATTAGGTAATTAATGATAATTAGATCATTGACAGCGGTGTAGAGGACAGAAAAAGAAACATGGAACAAAATTTTAGCCCCCCCACACACACTGAGGAATAGTAATAATAGTAATAGATATCTTACAAAAATTTATGTATGTCAGATCCATATAGTAACACTTCAAAGAATCAAAAAGGAGTATCTGTCCTAAAACTAATTTAAATATATATTTAAACATTTAATTGTATAAAACTGCTAGATGCATTGAATTCTCAGACATATTTTATGGTACAATATGAGTCATATATTTAAAAGACACATCCTTTGAATTAATTTTAAATTTTTATTACAGAAAATTTCAAACGTACAAAAAGAGGGTAATACATTTCCATCACTCAGCTTAATTTCCACCTTATAGCCAGTCTTATTTTATCACTAACCATCTCCACTTTCCCCACTGCTATCATTTTCAGGCAAATTAGAGTAATAATAGTTTTAAGTCCCCTTGAAGATTATATATACACATAGTTCAGAGTAGTAAAATAACCTTAATTTTTCTGTAAGTTACATATGTAATGTGTAATTGTAATTTCAAGGAGGCAGTGTGGCTAAACCAGGTATCCTCATGAAGGGAAAAGGATTAGTACACTGTAGTCACTATGTTTCCTTAAGCCTTTACCGTGTATAGTTAATAGTTCAGATAACAGGTTATGTTCTCATTAATCTTGTGAACAAATTCTGGTCCATTTTACATCTAGTTGTGAACTTTGTAATGGTGCAATTTTGTTTTGTTGTTTGATTGTTTTCATGGTTTTAGATTTCATCCTGGTAACTGTTCTGCTAAACAACATTTGTGTGATTTTTGCAGATGGATATTAACTAGAAATTACAAAGCCCTCAGCAAAGGTTCCAAGGGCAGTACCTCAGGCTTTTTGAACATTATGATGGAGCTAAAGAAATGTTGTAACCATTGCTACCTCATTAAACCACCAGACAATAATGAATTCTATAATAAACAGGAGGCCTTACAAGTAAGAATTTTAAAATATTGTTACTTTGTGGTAAAACAAAGTTCTGAAAGTGTTTATTTTAGTTATAACTGAACAAGGCACAGTGCTTTAATATATTAGAAATTCTGGTTAATGGTATATTTAATGGTGTTCATTATTTTTTAGTCTCTAAGCCCCTTAAAATAATAATTTATCCAATTAATTATTTTGATCACTTTTCTTAAAATTAATCTCTCTAACTGTGGGCTGTCATAATTTATCTAGCAAAAATCCCTTAGTGTATTCTTAATTGTGAAAAAAAAATTCACTAATAGTGATATGCTGAATTCATGGTAATGGCAAATGGAAGTCTTAAGGACATCTTGGCCTCAGATCTTACCCTTCCGAGCACTTCTGGGAGACAAAAGAGAAGTGTGAAGAAGGTATAAATGGTCGTCCAGCCACAGCAATGCTTTGATCATTGTAATTTTAAGCAGTGCTGGGATCAGTGACTGATACATATAAATTAGAACACATTTTCTTACTCTTTAAGCCTTTGGTTGCTTGGTTGCTGCTTCTCTTCAGTGCTTTGGTTTTCAGCTCAGGTTTTTGGAGAAATAGTGCAATAACCAGCAAATAGAGTAAAACAGTGCTTTTTTTCCTCCTGAAAATACAGCAAAAACCTAGGTGGTAAATTGCAAGGAAAATTTTAGTTTTAAGTCATAGAGCAAAATGATAGTTCCAAAACTGTGGAAACTGAAATGAGCTGTTTTTCAATGTTTTGAAAAAACAAAATCACAATTTAAAATAATGAAAGAAATTAAAATGTTAAGTGGAGCATTTGTTTCATTTAATTGATTCTTTTTAACATGTTATAACAGTAGTAATTTTTGTTTTCTTAGCACCTAATCCGTAGTAGCGGAAAATTGATTCTTCTTGACAAGCTGTTAATTCGCCTAAGAGAAAGAGGCAACAGAGTTCTTATTTTTTCTCAAATGGTGCGGATGTTAGATATACTTGCAGAATATTTGAAATACCGTCAGTTCCCCTTTCAAGTAAGCATTTCATCTTGTCTTTTTTGTCTATTTAAATTATATCTAATTCCTAAGCATGTTCTACAAAATTACTTTTGAAAATCTTTAGTAAATGTATAGATTTTTATATAAACTGTACTTTAAGAAAATACTATTTTTTTAATTCTATTTTTCATTCCCTTTTTTTCTCTTGACCTTATATTAAGCAGCAAAACAATTTTTCTTTAATTTTTACTTTAGTTCTCTAGATCTCCTCTGTGCTCAAATCTAAAGAGGCAGCCATATATATTAGGCTTCAGTTTGAGGAAGGAAAAGAGAGAGCATTCTTTGTGAATGCTACTAAGACTGTTGGAGATTTTGAAGGTCTATGTGCTCATAATGATTCTAATGAATAGTTTACTAAATAAAACTAGGTCATCCCAAAAGATCAAAATGGGCTTATATTCCATCTAGTCAATATTTATTTTCAAATTCATTCAACATGATTAAAGTTAATATGGATGAGTGTTTAATGTTAGAGTCAGGTGCTAGTTTTCAGTACTTTACATCTTATAATTTATTTAGTGCTTTTATGAACAGGGCCTGAAATAGCAAACAGTATGTACAGCTAGTAAATGATGTATATTTAGTGCAGGTAGTAAAATAGAAGTAGAAGCATAATGATGAACCACAGTGCACATAATCCCTACTCTGTTGGAGTTTACAACCTGATGTTCAGACATAGAAATTAAGCAACTAATTACAAATAAATATCACATTACAACTGTGGTAAGTGCTGTGAAGGACAGATGTTTGGTGATATGAACATGATTGAAAAATAATGTAGTCATTTAGGGGAAAAAGTATAGGAAGAGTACCATTGTTTGCTTTTTTTTTCTTTTTCTTAAACAGCTTTATTCAGATGTAATTTCTATTCCATACAATTCATTCATTTGAAATACACAAATCAGTTGTTTTTAATATATTCATAGTAACCATTACCACAGTCAATTTTAGAATGTTTTCATCACCTCCAAAAGAAACCCTACTCTTTAGCTACCACCCTATGTTCCCCCATTTTACTCCCATTCCCACTCCAACTCTGTGTTGGTTTGTTTTTAGACAAACTGTTATGTGTACATGGTCAAACAAAAAAACATAGTACAGAAGTATTTGTAAACACTCTTCCTCAATCCCTGGTCATTCCCAAATCACTTCCTGGACAGAAGAATTTTTAACAATCTTTTGTTTCAGGTCACACCTTAATAAATGATACATCACTACTTTGTAAAAAGTTTTACTAATTGTAATTTTTAGTGAAAAAGAAACAACACTATTTACATTTTGTTTCTGGACATCAGTTGTTTAGATAACATTTGGGATAAGCACTTGATGTATGTCAGGCACTGTGCTAAATGTTTTATTACTATGTTCTCTCATAGAATCCTCTCTATTCTGTGAAGGAAGTACTAATTACTATTGTTACTATTATTACACCCATTTACTGAGGAGGAAACTAACAAGGAGAAAAATCAGGTCACATACCCTAGGCACCATGGGGCTCAATAATTTGAGTTTCTAAGTTCTCAGATCACATTGATGCTATTGGTCCAGTAACCACACTGGACTTAATCAATGTTTAATCAGTACATTGGGTCATGAAACTTGGGGTGTACAGATGTCTCCTTCACATGTAAAATGTATCTCTTACAATGTATCTCAGGCAGGATGATAACCAATGCTGTTATTACTTATTAGAGTAAGTAGTCTTAGCACTTCAGAGCACAGATTCTGGAGATAGAATGTCTGGGAATGGTTTTACTGCCTAATAAGTACTTTTGACTCTTACAGTCTTAACAAAAATAATGCTGCATTTTCATACTTATGTAATTTTGTAATTGATTTTAATTCCTTTTTAAATTTTTTATCTTATTATATTTTAATATGTTTTATTCTAGAGATTAGATGGATCAATAAAAGGGGAGCTGAGGAAACAAGCTCTAGATCATTTTAATGCTGAAGGATCAGAGGTATGAATGCTTTTTAAATTGTAAATAAATTGTTTTAGTCAGTCATAGTTAACAGTTTGTTTAATAAAGAAAACCTATTGATGCTAGCCATTTTTGATTTGCAAGTTGGGTTTTTAAATTCATTATTCTATTATATCTGAAGACTATTGCACTTACCAATATTGTTTCAGCCGAAGATGGTTAATTTGCTTCAAAATAAATTAGCCCACTTTCCTTTAGAATTCTTTTTGAATTTGATGGTCATTATTCTCATGTGTATTTGTATTTTGGAGTCTTGTCGATTGTTTTGGCTGGAGGTTTATATATGTTAATATTTTTAAAAACTACCTTTTAGTTTATTGGGAAAATATGTTTTAAAGAAATCAGTTGTAAAATTTTCATATTGATTATTCACAGTCACAGTTCTAGAAGAATATAAAATTGTACCTATTTGTAATTCCTTACAGGATTTCTGTTTTCTACTTTCCACAAGAGCTGGAGGTCTAGGAATTAATTTAGCCTCTGCTGATACTGTTGTTATATTTGATTCTGATTGGAATCCACAGAATGATCTTCAGGCACAGGCTAGAGCTCATCGAATTGGGCAAAAGAAACAGGTATTATTTTATTCCCCTTATTTTACTCTTTGAGAAGCTTTTTTTATGATCAGTGTTTGGAAATGATTTTGGTTTATCCTGATAAGATCATTAAAACACAGTAACATTGCCTTAAACAGGATATAAAGGAACTCATATTTACCAAAGTCACCTAAAGTGATAGAACCTAGATAAAACCATGCCTAAATAGGATCACACATTCTCTTCTGATCATACATTCTGTTTACAACTGTAGAGTACAATGTTTTTTATTCAAATGTATAAACTTTAAAGTATCTTCGTTTGCTAATTTTGACCATTGAAATATATTCTGCTGAGTACATTGTTACCTTTTTGTTAGCCTCATTTTATGATGTGCCTACAAGATTTTCCATGCAAAAGAACCATTCTCATTTTACTGGTTTTGTGCAACTGTCTGGCACAGTTGTAATAGGCCTTGGGAAAAACCATCTGTCATCCTTCTGACGATGCCTTGGTTCTTGGATTTTAATTCATTTACCTCCATCTAATGTAATATTTCTCAAACTTCTCCAAAGCAAGAGATAGCAACAAGCAGCACAAAAAGGTTTAGCACATTTATATTACGTTTTAAACATTTTCTACTGAAAAATATATCCATAACCTTGAACTGAAAATATTTTACCCAAAATTCCCATAAAACAGCCCCAGCAAGAATGTGTCATGCTTTTTCCTGTACTTTTTATACTCTGAAAGAACATTTCATACCCCTAAGTGAAAGGTTGTATTTAGAGTAGTAGTTCTTAACTTCATCAGATCCAATGACCTCTTTTTATACAGCTGTTTTTATTAGCACCGCCTTTTCTACTTTGAAATGGATACATGTAATTTGAGAAGTCATTCTAGTGCCTTAACAGTAATTTAGGTGAAAAGAGAGTTCTTTTCAAATAATACATATTTCCATATATGTGACTATTCTAGGATATAGTGAGTAAGTTTAGATTTGGGAGAATAAGAGCAGGACTTACTCTTCATAAGAAGTACAAAGGAAGAAAAGAGCAGGGGCATATTGGTGCATAAGAATAAAAATTATTGTTCCTTAGATAGTAGCAGACTTATTTGTACATTATAAAAAGAGGGAAAAATTGAAGTAGGGGTAACGACATACCAAGACAATTACAGACTGTCAAAGAGGAGAACTGAGGAAATAATAATATTCTTACAGGTGATTGGGGCCCAGTGTATATATGAAGAGTCAAAATATCCCTAAATTATGAACAAGATGGAGAATAGTGATTAATTGCACTGAATAGATATCTCCTATATTGAAATCTTCAGCAATAGCTAGCTAGACTCAGATTCTATTTATACTACTAAAAGACCTTGGTCACATTTTCTAATAGGTGATGGAAAATAAAGGATACTTCAAAAAAAGATCTGATTAGATAAGATAATATAGGAAGCTGAATGGTAGACCTCTGGAAAGACTATTTGAATAAGATTGCAAAATATGGCAATACAGATTTCTTACCATTATGTTACGTTTTCAAAACAAAGGAAAAATATGAAATATGTTTTTGTTAATGATTATAAATAAGGTATTATTTTATTATAGATGAAATATTAAGATTCCTATGCTTCATGTACCTGGCTGTTTTAGTAGTATTTGGTTCTAAATCTGACAAAAGGAGTCTCAGATCTCCTCTTAAATATTTCTGTGCAACAACTACAACATGAGTAGTTGTAGGTGACTAATACAGATGAGTTTTATTGGTGCCACCAATGCCATAAGCATTTGGAAATGGTATCTTTTGATTAAGAGTCCAAATAAAATAATACCCAATTACTTGCCTAGTTACACAATAGTTGCAACCCTAAAAATTTGTGTATATTGTACATTATAAAAATGCCTGTTTATATTAAAATAGGATTTAGCATTAAAGTAATTTTTCAAAGGTCTTTTAAAGTCATTTGGGAGACTCAGGATAATTTTTCATTGTGCTCTTATGTACAGTTTGATGCAGAATATCTAATATCCCAAGTCCCTGTGATGTAAATGCTGATAAGCCCACCTAATCATTAAAAATTTTAAATGATTCCATAAATTTTCAAACTATTCCTATATGGTGGTACTGTTAGATATAGAATTGCTGATCTTAAGAAATTAGATAAAATTACTGCACGTCAACTTTTGTCTGTTTTGGAAGGCTATATTTTATAGCAGAGCTTTGTCATTAACTAGGAGAGTGATTTATAGAATTTTAGATTATGTGGAATGATGAAGTAATAATCATAATTGAGGGAACTAATATCAGGTTGTCAAAAATTTTTAATTTGTCCTTTTTTTCCCAGGTAAAAGATAATTCTAAATTACTGCCATTCCTTTAAAAAAAGAAAGCAAATAAAATCTCCTAACCAAAATATAAGGAAGAACTTACCCTCAAAATAATCTTTAAATTGAGGAAATTTAGCTTTAAACATATTGCTGTATATTTTTTTATTTACATTTTGATTTTTGATCTCTGAATACTTCATACAGGATGAGCTTCAGTCTGTACTCCAGTGTTTGGACACCTCAGATTGGCAAAACAAATCTTAACTACATTTTTTGTTTTATCATGTGTATTTTTACAGGTGAATATTTATCGACTAGTCACAAAGGGATCAGTTGAAGAGGATATTCTTGAAAGGGCTAAAAAGAAGATGGTTTTAGATCATCTTGTGATTCAAAGAATGGACACAACTGGGAAGACAGTGCTACACACTGGTTCTGCCCCCTCAAGGTACTTACCCAAAAATGTCATTTTAGAATCATACTGTACTTTTTTTTCTGAAATGTTGCATATGGTAAGTGGAACATTAAAGTATTATATTTAGTGTTGGCCTTTTTTTTATTTTTTAACACACTGGAGTACTTTTCTAGTCAAAAACATACATTCACCACTTTAGTTTTGTAATCTTGGTGGAAATCTATCTTCTAGGCCTCAAATCCTTTAGTTTCAAAGCAAGTATACTAATAATACTTTACCTAACTAAATATGTCATGTATCTGTCATAAAGACTGTGTTAACAAAAGTGCTATAAGTGTTTAAATTTTTAAGTATTAGTGTTGAGCATTTTTATTTTTCCTGATTTTAGTTCTACTCCTTTCAATAAAGAAGAGTTATCAGCCATTTTAAAGTTTGGTGCTGAAGAACTTTTTAAGGAACCTGAAGGAGAAGAACAAGAGCCCCAGGTAAAAAAAAAAAAAAAAAAGACACTTGCCTCAAAATGTGCCATCTTTTAAACTGCATTTAATAAGAATAAAGTATATTTACTTTAGAATATTAAGTATTAAATGTATTTGTTTTATTTATGTTATACTTTAAAATTAAAAATATATCAAAGTATATTTTAAATAAAGGTTTGTTTCTAATTATAGGAAATGGATATAGATGAAATCTTGAAGAGGGCTGAAACTCATGAAAATGAACCAGGCCCTTTAACTGTCGGAGATGAATTGCTTTCCCAGTTCAAGGTAGATTTTCTCTCTTATTTTTTTTTAATATAAATTGAGAGGGACTGATTTCATTTTTGTCAGTGTTTTATTAGTCTCTTCTTTAAGCACAATCAACAAGATAATTTTTAAACAAAAATGTTTAATATTCTTGTCCTAAAGTTTGCTTTTATAGCTTTTCTCCCTTATTCTGACAAATATAAACCAATAAAAACCTGCGTCAAAAAGGTACCAAATCATTTATAAATAATTACAATTAGTGGGATGGGGAGGGCTATAATTTCCTAAGTAGCACCTGACAAGTGCTTGGTGAATAGCATGTCCTCAAATATTTTGGTAAATGAATGAATATGATCTCTTATTTAGATTTCCATGACTGAAGACTTCGCTGAGTTTTATTGGAGTAGTTTTAATCATTAGATTAAGCTTTATCACAACTAGGAAAACTCAAGTAAATCAGTCTGACAAAGGAAGCAATAGACTCCTTTTAATACTTATTAATACACCTGGTTTGGTGAGGGCTGAAAGGTTGCAAGGAGTCCTTAAGCAACACAAGTCGGCTGTGTATATATACAACCATATAGAGTAAGTTGTGAATTGTTTGCTATAAAGTAGGTTCCTCTGAATATTAGCCATTCTCCATGAACTGAGGTTTTTTAAGAATCAATTCAGTTTGTATCATTTGTTCATTCAAATATTATTGAACACCTACAATGTGCTATGCACAGGAGCACAACAATGAATAAAAACCTTTGTAATTTTAATGGGTCACTGGCTGCAATGTGGAGGATGTACTGTAGTGGGGCAAAAATTGAAGCAGGGAAATAAATGAGAAGACTTTCAGTAATACTGGTAAGAGATCAAGATTTCTGGGAGACACTTCCTCTGGATATGATTTAATTAACTCTTCTTTACATTAAGTTAATACTATATGCTTTTACTTTGACTAATAGGCAATTTGAAAAAAGTCACTGGTAAGTTATAGTAATAATATACAGTCAATATAGATTATTTTTATACCAGTGAGTTAATAACTCATATACAGCTAGCTGGCTTTAAGGCTGTCATCACATTTGAAGTAACAGACATGAGAATAAACTGTATTTTCAGCCCCATTCCTTCTGTAGTATAAGCATAGCTTTCTTGTCTTAATCATTTATCTATAAGGTTTATTTAATGTACTAGTATTAGCAGTTAGCTATAATGACTTTCTATGAAACAGCCTCTTCAGTTTCTTAAATGTATTATTTAATCCTCACAAATGTTAGTGTGCTGTTAATTATCCCTTTTTTCTAGAGAATAAGAAAGCAGAGCTTAGGAAATGTAAATATTGTATCTTGTCAGTAGCTTATTAGCTACTATTTTTATTGTCATAAAAAAATAAGAGTATTGGATTGTTTTGCAGCACTTATAGTTTTTATTTTGTAGATTAGATTTGTTATTAAGGTAGTTAATGGCTGGTGTGGTAATTCTTTTAGAAGGTGCTTTAGTGTGCTACTACTATAAGTTACTTTGTTGTTATTCTGTGGAATTTACTTTAGTTCTGTTGTAATCGTTTTGTTAAGCAGCAGAGCAAAACAGAATCATTCCTGGAAGAGAGCTTATAAGTCTTGGTTTGATGCACTTTGACCTAATGAAAGAAGGACCTTAGTTTAGCAATCATACTTGGTTTGATCCCTATTCATATTCATTATCCTGAGGATATTTAAATTTTATTGTCTTATTCTGGTATGCCAGCTTCCTCCCTGCTAAAAAAAGAAAAATATAATTTAAGGAGGAGTTCTCTGATGCTTATTCTGTTAAAATTCTGGAACTTACCAGGTTGCCAACTTTTCAAATATGGATGAAGATGACATTGAGTTGGAACCTGAAAGAAATTCAAAGAATTGGGAAGAAATCATTCCAGAAGATCAAAGAAGACGATTAGAAGAGGAAGAAAGACAAAAGGAACTTGAAGAAATTTATATGCTCCCAAGAATGAGAAACTGTGCCAAACAGGTGACTTTTTTAAATTTAAAAAGATATTTCTGTAATGTAAGAGTATTCACAATTGAACTGATCTTTTAATTAGAAATACTGGTCCATACATAGTTTTCTTGTAATGTCTTCATGTGATTTGATAATGTTGGCCTCATGAAGTGAGTTGGAAAGTGTTCCCACCTCTGTATTTGGGAAGAGTTTGTGTAGAATTGTTAATTATTTCTTGGTTAAATGTTTGGCAGTATTTGTCAGGGAAACCATCTGGGCCTGTAGTTCTCTTTGTTAGAAGGTCTTTTTAACTGTAACTTCAGTTTATCTTATAAATACAGAACAATTCAAAATGCCTATTTCTTGAGTGTGGGAGTTTTGTTTCTTTCTAGGAATTTGTTTTATCTGTTGTTGAATTATGGACCTAAAGTTATTCATAATATCCCCTGAAGAACCACTTTTTGGTTCCATTGATCTCTGTTCTTCTTTCTTTTTGCTTTTCCTTTCATTTGCTCTTCTTTTTTTAGTGTCTTAAGGTATAATCTTAGACTACAGAATCAAGGTCCTCCTTTACTACTAATATCAGCATTAATACTACAAGTTTACCTTTAGGCACTACCTTTTCTGAATCTCCTAAATTTTTATCAGTTGTTTCCATTTTCATTCATTTCAAAATATTTCTCGTGTGACTTCCTCTTTACCCATAGGTATTTTTTTGTAAGAAATATGTTTAATTTCCAAATATTTGGGATATTTTCCAACTACCTTCCTTACTAATCCCTGGTTTAATTCTGTCATGGTCAGAAACCATCCCTTGTGTGAGTTGAGTTTTTAAAAATTTGTTGATGTTTATTTTATGGCCTAAATTAACAAACTGTTAAACTTTTAAGTGAGTAACAATGCCATGCTAAGCTACATTGGATTCTGTTGCAAAAGGAAAAAACAGTACTAGATTTTTTGGCATTAACTTTTGTTTTTTAGAATATTACACTACAAGATTATTTGTCTTGAATACTGAGTTTTTTGGTGCCTCCTTCAATTTTGACTGAGGCAAACTAGGGACTTGCCTAATCCCTCTCCTGCTACCTTTCTCTAGAAGTAGAGTTTTTGGTTTTCTTTTTCTTCTCCTACCTCCATATTAGGTCTTTGGATCTGACAAGGCTTCCTGCTTGTCTGTTCAGTGGTGACTATTGCCTTTCTCCAGGCCTGTACCATGAAGGAAAATGTTCTCTAATCTTCTCCCTGCTTCCAGTCTTTCTCATGAGCACCTGGTGGAGGTTTGTGGAGAAGCACCTGAGAGTGGGTGCAGGTCCTCCCTGTGTCTTTGGTTCCCAGGGATCCTATGCTTTTATGGTAGCTCACACCCACCCTTTAGCAAATTTTAGCTAAATTCCCTATATCTGCTTATATGATACTTGATGTCCACTATTCTTGTTCTTCACAAGTGAGCCAGTGTTGGAGTCCCACCTCTTCTTACAAAGTGCTATATTTCTTTATATTTTAGATGACTAGATAGCCTTGTGATTTTGATACATTTAAGAAAAGTTTTTATTTTGTAGATTAGATTTGTTATTAAGGTAGGAGCAGCCCTCCAACAATCTGTCCACCCAGAGATACTATTAGTAATTATATTATGGTATACATAACTCTGATACTTTAAAAATATATCAATTGCCAAATTTAATTGGAGGCATATTAATTTAGAACTTGCTTTCTTCCCTTTGACAGTATATAATGTATGTTAATTATTCTATTGCACAGTTTTTAGTGGCATCTCAGCTTTCCTTTGTTAATATTTTGTCCAGTCTCTTTTCAATAAACATTTAGATTTTTTGCCTTTCTTTAAACACTTTTATGATCTAAATGACTTTTGGCCAGTGTTCCTTCATGTTCTCTCATCTTAGGACAAAATGCCTAGGAGTGATGTTGCTGAGTCAGCAGAATGGTCTTTTTTTTTTTTTTTTTTTTTTTTAAGGCTTTTGATATAACTGCCAAATTGCCCTCTGTTCCACTTTAAATATCCACCAGAGGTGTAAGACTGTCGTTCTTCTGTACCATCACCAATATTGGCTATTTTTGCATAGTCTAATATTGATTAAGTTGATGGATTAAAAAAAGAACTGCACTTCATTGTTATGTTCATTTGCATTTAAAAAAATTTACCAGTGAGGTTGTTTAATTCTTTTACTTGATCAGTTGCTTGTCAATATCCTTTCTTATATTTTTACAAAAGGGCAGTGGGTGTTTTCCTACTGATTTATAAGAATGCTTTATATATTGAGACTATTAATAACTGTGTCATTAGCATTTTTCTCTATTTGCTTTTTAATTTTGTTTATAGAGAAATTTTGACATATAGAAGAACATTTAAAGTATTTTCTTTGCCCTTACAACAGAAGCCTTCTTTACTGTAAACTTGGTTCAATTTTTATTTTCCTATTCCAGATTAGTTTCAATGGAAGTGAAGGGAGGCGTAGTAGAAGTAGGAGATACTCTGGATCTGATAGTGATTCTGTCTCAGAAAGGAAGAGTCCAAAGAAACGTGGAAGGCCACGGACTATCCCTCGGGAGAATATTAAAGGATTTAGTGATGCAGAAATTCGGCGGTAAGATGACATAAGACCATTTTACTTCAACTTGCTTTTATTAGAGGATGAAATTAAAATACAGAAATCTCATAATTTTCAAAAATAAAGTCAAAGTTTTAGAGGAGGCAAATATGTATGATAATTGTGTAGGGATTGGGTAGTTCTGCTTTGGGATATTAATTGTAGCTATGAAAAAATAGAAGTTTGGTATCTAATGTTTGCATATTATTTAATTATTGTTAGTCTGTTTAGACTGCAAAATTTTTCTGGTTTTATTATGTGACTCAGAATAGTGGCCCTTTTGAAAATGAATGTATATTTGAATACATTAGGTTTATTTAAAAAAAAGTCACACCACATTTATGCCTCTCAGAATTACTATTTTTATTGGGAATAATTTAGTTCCATATTTTTCTAGTTTTTGAACACTGAGGTGATTTGCTTTTTTGAGAGTAACTATGTTAAAAATATTTCTGATATGTCCAAGTGGGAACTGAGGTAAGATTGGCCATACAGGATTAATTGTTTTTTCTTTCAGAAATGTTTGTTTGTATATACAAATTTATTTAAGAAGAATGAGATGCAGCTTACTTTTGTTTATGCAATATTTTTGCTTATGAAATTTGTGAAAAAGTTATTCATTGTTAAATTTTTCTTTCAAGCCATTGTAACTCTTTTCTTTTAAATCACAGACCTTACCAGTAAAGTTCTTCTTCATTCTTTCTACCAGAAAAGTAAACATATTGTTAGATTTTATTAAGGGTACTTTTATGACCACCTGATTTGCTGCACTTTCTATCTTTAGTTGAAGAGGCATTTCAACATCTAATTTTCCTGGGTATTTTCCCTCAACCATCAACCATCAACCATTTGGGTAGTTTTGTTCTTAAGTAAAATTTTTATTTTCCATTGCTGATTTAATACCATTCATCTTCTGAATTAAAGCTATATTCAGTGGTTTTATCAACACTTGGGATGTAAGGAGATGTAATATGATTGATAACTCTGGAGACACTTCATGGTAGCCTTGAATCTTTTTTGTCTTTTGAAAATAATAAAGTAATTTCTAAAATAAAATTTAGCTTCTCTTGTTTTATTTATATTGGCTTCTAAACATCATTGTGGGTATTAAAGTATGTCTTGTTTTACTTGGTATATCTTAATGTTTTAACATTTTTGTTTCTAGCATAGTTTATTTTTGTTAGTAACAGTGCCTTGAATTAATTTTTACACTAACAAATATTTTCTTATTTCTCTATATTTATAAATACATCTATCTTTTAATGGACAGTGAAGCCCACACTTAAAACTAAACGATTATTCTCTGTTAGGTTTATCAAGAGTTACAAGAAATTTGGTGGCCCTCTGGAAAGGTAAATACGTTTGCCATTCTCAGAATTATAGAATGTGTTACATGCTACCAGCTTTATTTATGTTAATATTCATAAAAGTTTAGCTACTTTGTTAAAATGTGGCTCAGAATAGTGGCCCTTTTGAGTAATTAATGTATATTTCAATACATTCGGTTTATTTTTTAAGTTAGGGCATTTACAAAGTTAATCTGTAGAAAGCAAATTTCAAACAGATTTTTAAAATATTTTTGTAATATCCTTAATACTTTTCCTTAAAATTTTATCTACAAAGTTTTCTATAAAATACTTTTCATTTTTCAAATGTTTTATCTTTTTCATCACAAACTTAACAAAACAGCAAATTCATCCATAGAGAAACCTAGTTGCTAACCTAGTATTCTGACTTAAAGACCAGTTCTATTTTCCCTTACTAGAGAAAGTTTCCTTAAGTTTCCTTAATTACAGCTTCTTTTATACAAACTATTAAAAATCAAAGTGTCAAGACAGTTTTTTTAAGTTATCTGTTAATCTTACTAAGTGTTGGTGATTTGAGTATTCTTTGTCCTTTGTTATAGGAAAACTCACTCTGGATGTAGAGTGGCAAAGATTAAAATAGGTTTAATTCTGTTTTTCCTCCCAAAAACCCCATCTTAAAATAGAGATTTTTCTGTTTTGAAATGACTTGCCTGAAATACTTGCATAATTATTTTAGATGATGAAAAACTGTTTGAACATTAATCATTATTCATATTATCTATAAAGTGCATAGTAACAAAAAATTACAGAATTTTACTTATAACCTTTTTCATTTGTAATGGTCGTAATGCTTAACCACTTCCTTTTGAACTCAAGATTTGATCAGTTCTGAAGAGCTTTCACCGAATTATTAAATATTCTTCATATTTGGAGCATACATTTGCTCTTTAAAGAACTGGTTAACTTTATTATTATTCCTGAGTATATAAATGAATTGTTTCTCCACCAAATCTTCCTGGTTTTTATATATCTCATAACAGTTGTGTGAACTAGAATTTGTAGGGCATGCAAATGACTTGTAGAGCTTAAGAGAGTAAAATTTAGTCTATCTCACATGGCACCACTTTATTCTGCATATTTACCTGAAAACTGTATTATTTTTCAGATTAGATGCAATTGCTCGAGATGCTGAATTAGTTGATAAGTCAGAGACAGACCTCAGACGACTAGGAGAATTGGTACATAATGGTTGCATTAAAGCTTTAAAGGATAATTCTTCAGGAACGGAAAGAACAGGTAATACTAAAATGAGAGCAGTTTAAAGAGAGGTAAATGGAAGTTTGAAAATGTAATAGTTAGGTAGGTATTATATCTTAAGAAAAGATGCTTTATAAAACAAAGCAAGGCCAATCCTAGGCAGTAGGAAATGGGGAACAGAATTGTACTCTTGAAGGCAATAGAGTCTATCTGCGTGGGAGGTAACCTCAGAAATTACTGCCTTTTGTAAAATACTTTCAGTATGGATGCCTGGGAAAGTTATCAAAGATATCCACATATTGGTACTGTTTTTTGGTCATAGTTATTACTTCATTAATGCTTATTTTGCAATTCATCTACCTAACAAAAATATTTAGATAAGATTTAGTAATCTGTTATACTTAAAAATCATACTAGTACTGTTCTTTAGAGGCTGACAGTATTAATAGACCAATATATCTTGTGCAGTTGATAGAACAATTATGTGAAGTGCTTTTTGTGAATCTACATCTGCAATATTATAATCACTAGTATGTATTGAAAGATTTTGTGAAATTTATGGTTTAACAGCAACTCCCCCCTCTAATAAAACATAAATAAGTAATACTTAACTATGTAAGTAACAGCATGTGTTGCTTTGTATTTTGTAGACTTATATACTTTATACTTTATTATTATTTTTTTAATTAAGGTGGTAGACTTGGAAAAATGAAGGGCCCAACATTCCGAATATCAGGAGTACAGGTGAATGCCAAGCTGGTCATCTCCCATGAAGAAGAATTAATACCATTGCACAAATCCATTCCTTCAGATCCAGAAGAAAGAAAACAGTGAGTTGTTTACTTCTTCCATTGTAAAATACTTGTTTTATTCAGTAACTTGGGTATGAAGTTATGTAAAAAGGGTTATATGTCATTGGTTAGTTTGAATTAAATATTTTTTAAAATAGGATATTTTGAAATTCTAATGACTCATAATGTTTTTCAAAATTAATTTTTAATAAGCAGTTATAAACTTGAAAGTGCTATCTTCTTAATTCTAGATATACTATCCCATGCCATACAAAGCCAGCTCATTTTGATATAGACTGGGGCAAAGAAGATGATTCCAATTTGTTGATTGGTATCTATGAGTATGGATATGGAAGCTGGGAAATGATTAAAATGGATCCTGATCTCAGTCTAACACACAAGGTACTTATATTTTTTTAAATCTCTTAACAGTTAATGTTGAGTTTAATTTTTGCCTTTAAATTATGTTAGGAAATAAAAACTGGGAGTCAGGAATCTGGTTTTCATGAAGAGATTGAATTTAAATGATCTCTGAAATACCGCTTTACTTCTGAAATTATATTTTAGTTATTAAAACATAGTTGTATTTTTCTTCATATTATTAGGCTAAAGGTAAATTTCTCAGTCCATCATTACATTATTCAAGGACAAAAAAGAGTTCTGCCCTCTAATATACTTTTTTTAATATCAAATAATGTTTTAGAGTTTTGGATGATTTGATGCTACCACACCAGCTAAAATCCCTTCTTTGCCTAGAATGGAAAACACTGGAAACATTGCCTTATTCCTATCATTTGATTTATATTTTTGTATTTTATTTCTTCATTGACAAATGGGAACCTTCAGGTATTGGTGTGTTGTCCTTTGCTACTGTGGAGCAAAACAAAATGGCTTAAATTCCCACTGTAGGAATTTCCCTACAGTGCGTGCTTTGGGTCAGCTTATAAATGGATGATAGTTTGCATTCTAGGAACTTTTGTAGACTTATTGTTAAATATACTGTTAGTGAGAGAGGAAAGAAACCTAATACTGTAAGGTGTAACAATACCAGATGTTAAATACACTATTGTATATTGGAAAGAAATATCTAACCTCACACTTTGTATTCTCATTGTGAATGGAAGGATTTGTTTTCTCATGTGTTTATTCAGAATTCATTCCCAAGAAACTAATTCTTTGGCTGTGGCATAGGTATAAAAATATATTTTGCATTCTAAGTTATTTATTCCCAAAAATTTTAAGAATTGTAACTTGTTAGTGGATTGTATTTGTTTTAAGTTGGTAAGCATTTTTAGCCAGTAAGTTTCTCGTGAAGATAACCTGAAAAAATTGCTTTTCAGATTCTTCCAGACGATCCTGATAAAAAACCACAAGCAAAACAGTTGCAGACACGTGCAGACTACCTCATCAAATTACTTAAAGATTTTGCAAGAAAAGAAGCTCAGAGACTTTCTGGTGCAGTAAGTTAAAATTCGGATGCTTAAGAGCAGTTAACTCTTCAGTAAGACAAATCTTGTTTATTAATCACCCTAGAGATCTGTGGTTAATAGGAGCTGAAAGTGTATTTTTCTGTAATTTAGTAGTTTTATTTGACTGTGGTAGTGTTTTACCTTAAATTATCTCAGCATTCACGATAAAACTGGCGAGTCAGACCTTTCAGAAATTAGGTCATTTTTTTCATTAGTATTTGGAGAGGAAACAGGGTAACTTGCTTAGAGTGGAGTACCTTTTGAGAGGTTATGTGTCCATTACTGTTTTATTTGGAGACATTGTGGAGCTTAAGGGACAGCATTAAAGATCACTGAACTTATTTATGAGGAGGATCGAAAAAAGTGGGAAGACACTGAAAAAAAAAAGACGATTGGAAACTAAAACTAAAGCAATCTTTAGAAGTTTTACCAATGACCATGATGTCAATAACTACTTATGTACTGTTAAAAATAATTTTCTAGTGCTATCTCTGGTAGCATTGACTTTAGTTAAAGATACCAAGCAAGGTGAAAAATCCTCCTGTTTCTACTTGTACTTCTCTCTAATTCTTTTTTTTTTTTTAAGAATTATTAATTATTGTTGGTTAGCATTTATTCACAAAAATAGTGAAACTAACTCATTAAGTTACATATCACTTTTGTTGTCTAAGATTGGTGTAGCTTATTACTAACAGACTCAGGGCTGGTTCTTTTAGCTTTTTAGATTTAGTATTTGAAGTTTTATTTTTTTAATAGAATCTATGAAGTTGGTTAGAATAAAAATAATTACTTCTAGGGAGGTTTAAAGAAGAGAAAAGCAAGAACTAAGAAGAATAAAGCAATAAAGTCTGTAAAAGTGAAAGAGGACATAAAGAGTGATTCTTCTCCCCTGCCCTCAGAACAGTCTGATGAAGATGATGATAAGGTAAGAATGTGTTTTAGAAAAGCAGCCTGTTAAATAAAAAGGGAACATATCTGTTTTAGTATACTTAACATTTGAAATTTGAACGATGGCCTTAATTTTCACTTTTAGGTAAAAGTGAAGTTCTTTTTTATAGTTCATTACAGTTTCCTTTACAGAACAGAATTCTACCCATCCATTAGAATACAGTATATCAGTAGAGGGCTAGAGCAAAGGTCCTTCCTTTTCAAACATTTTCCGTTTGAATGAAGTTCTGTCTCCTTTAATTTCATTATGAATTTTTGAATAGGACTAGGCTAGCTTATTAGTCTTTAGGAAGGTGAATATTGCATGTAACATTATCAATGGGATTCTTGGTTATTTCTTTCAGAATCCACATACATGCAGTCCATAGTCATGCAAATGAAAGAAATTAGTCTTTGTCAAGATTTGGTTAGTAATACATTGGCCATACTTGCACTTTCCAGGATGAGATCACTTCTGTGAAACATCCAAATAAAAAAATTAAAACAGAAAGAGACAGTGAAGAAAAACCTGAGCCAGATGTTTCTATAAAGAAGGAAACAGAAGAAAAGAGGGAAACAAAAGAAAAGGAGAATAAAAGAGAACATAAAAGGGAGATAAAAGAAAAAGAGATTAAGAAAGATATAAAGGAAAAAGATTTTAAAGAAAAAAGAGAAAACAAAGTAAAAGAAGCTATGCAGAAAGAAAAAGACATAAAGGAAGAAAAGGTATGCAAATCATAATTTAAAATTTAGAAAGTGACACAACAGCATATTTACATTTTAGGAAAATAAATTGCCTGTCAGCCCAAAGTAGTCTCAATAACTAAGTTCTTCAAAAATACATGTGTAGAGGAAGAAGTAGGTTTGGATTCTGTTTGAAGTGCCTTACCTATATAGGGTAACATTACAGAGTAGCTTTATTTGGGGGAAAGATAAAATAGATAATATTGAATGTAAATAATTAATTGTAGAGTAAAATGAGACAGTATAGTTAACCCTTGAATAATACAGGTTTGAACTGCATGAGTTCACTCTTTTACATGGATTATTTTTCAATAAATAGTTGGAGATTTTTCTTGGAAATTGTGACAATTTGAAAAACATTTTCTTTTCTCGAGCTTACTTATGATAAGAATATAAGAATATAATACATGATACATATAAAATGCAAAATATGTGTTAATTGACTTATTGGTAAGTCTTCAGTCATTAGTCAGCTATTAGTAATAGTTAAATTTTTGAAAGTCAGAAGCTACAAATGGACTTTCAGCTGCACAGTGGGCAGTGCTTCTAACCCCCATGCTGTTCAAGGGTCAAATTGTAATTGTCTTTGAAGTGTTAATCATTTTGCCTTTGTTGCTGCTGGGTTTTTGCTTTTATTTTATTTTATCTTTTTTCTTCAGCTAAGCGAATCTAAGTCTGATGGCAAAGAAAGATCCAAGAAATCTTCAGTGTCAGATGCTCCAGTTCATATCACTGCAAGTGGTGAACCAGTTCCCATATCTGAAGAATCTGAAGAGCTGGATCAGAAGACATTCAGCATTGTAAGTAGCAGACTTTCTTGCTATTGGTAATAATTTATGTAACATTTTATTTAAATTATAGTTTCATCTTTTAGAGCCTTTAATTCAGAAATGTGTTTGGTAATACTGCAGTTCAGATTGATAAAAACAGTAGATTTAAAATTGTAAAGGTGTCTTAAATTTAGAATCAACTTGGAAAAATTTCTTAGTAAGTTAAAGACTTTAAGGAGAGGTATTTAGGGAATACATAAAGTGAATTTTTTTCCTCCAACTTCAGAATGTTAAACTTTTCAATTTCTGAACGTATTACCTATATACCAGTGCTTCTCATCTACAGTGAAGGATTAGCTTCTTTTCCAGTCTTTTACAGACCCATATTTTTAGGAAAAAAAAATTAAAAAAGTGAAATGTTTCACTAGAAAAATGAAAATAAGAAAAATTAAGTACAAAATATAAGCCCCAATGTTTATTACTAGAATCAGTAGACATAAAATTATATAGCCAAATTGATACAAAGTTTCTAAAATGTCTGTACCTATCCCATTGTAGATTAGCAAAGGTTCATAGATCATACTTTGAGTATCACTGATCTGAAATCCACTGTTTTAACATGGCTAACATACTTTTATGTTCATCAAAGTAAGAGAGAATCTATCTTGGCCTTCTGCCAAAGGGTTCATTTACTGGATATAATCAGGAACCCAAAGTGGTCTGAACTGTGCAATTAATTGTGATGAAATTTTGAAGAAAATTTTTGCTTTGTGGGAAAGCAGTATGTGTGTTTGTCTAGTGGTTAAGTATGCTGGCTCTCTGGAGCCAGAGTGCTGCTGTTAGGCAAGTATGAAGATTAAATGAGTTGATACATGCAGTTTTCAGAGCAATGCTCTGCATAAAAAATTGGTAGTGGTTGTGGTGGGTGTTAGGGAATTCAGACATGGCAGCAGGTTGACAGATGATTAAGAAAGTCCAGATACAGAGCAAACTCAGGAAGGAGTAAAATTTTAGAGTAAAAAAGACCGAATAATATTAAACAGTTGTACATGGTATGTGTGTGTCTATATATGTATACTTAACAGGTAGCAACTGAAGGGGAAATGTATATATAGTCTGGTGTGTAAATATGTCATATGTATATACATTTATAGTGTGCACAAATATACATAAATACTTATTCATATAAGAACATTTTGTCTTCAGGTATTTCTAGAATCTGGATCTTTTAACACTTTTGGAGCTATTAACATACTTTTGTCACTACTTAGACATAATGTAAAGAGAGTTTTATTACTGATACTAATTAAATGTTATACTTGAAAGATGGAAATTTTCACCTAAAATTGTTTGTTTGACCTAGTATGCCATTCTAGATCCCCAGCTCACCTTTTTGTCCCACTTTCTCCTATTCTGTGCCCTAATGCATGTTGATTAATAAACCCATTTATTCCCTATAGATCCATGATATACCTTAATATAGCCTCAGATAATTTTCATGTTCTTTAAATATAATAGTTCCTACCACAACTTTCTTGTCTTCCTCACTTTTGGCTATTGGCATTCCTCTGATCTCTGAGAATATTAGGGACATCCAAATATAAGCTGCTTCTTTCATCTTATTTATTCAAACACATATCTTATCTGTACTTTCATATTTATCTCTACTCCAGGTTCACATGCTGGGATTTCATGGCAACTTTCTAAAGCTAACCTTTTTATTTGTGACCTAAGTCTTAATCGAGCCTCTTTACCCATTTTCCCTGGGGGAAGTGATAGTATGTGTTTGCTTTTCTGAGGTGAAAACATTAAATTCTTCAGCTGCTTCCCCTGCTGTACCTTTTCCATTACTGAGTTAGGTAAAATCTCAGCTCTTGCTTCTTATCTTTGCCCACATTTTCTAGTTAGCCTTCTGACTTATTCGTAGAACTGCTGAGTGGAGAATTCTGTTATGTCCAATGCATGAATTTCTTCTCCATTAACTTTCATAAGTGATCTTAAAATTAAAATCTCTTGTATTGTGGAGAAGAAAAAATGGAATAGTTCTAAACATAGACTCTAGAGCCAGACTTCTGAGCTTCCATGGTTAGGATCTTACTGCTATATAAATTTTACTTGGAAATAGCTCTAATTATTAAGAAATTAAGTGGCCATTTCTCAGTCTTCATTTTCTCTGACATCTTTGCCACATTTGACACCTCTTGATCTTCCTTGTATCTTAATTGATTTGTCTTCCTAAATATCAGTATAATTCAACAAAGTACAGAGTTTGAGGTCATACCTGGGTTTGACAGATGTATTTCATTCTAAGGTTCAATTTCTTCGAGAAAATAGAATAAATAGTATTGTGAAGGTCTATTGTCAGAATCAAATGTGGTGTATTTAGCTGCAGTGCACAGCCTCTGGTACCTAATAAGGGCTTTATAAATATTAGTTATCATTGCTTCAGTCCCCATCTTCAGGCCTTGGCCTTAGTTTAGATTTTAGTCATCGGTTCTTTTTTCTCCACTACATTCAGTCAATGAGCAAATCATATTGGTACCACACTGGTTCAAGCCACAGCCACCTCTTTCCTGGATTAGTTGAATAGCTTCATAGCTGTTCTCACTACTTCTACCCTTCCCTTTTTCATACCCTTTTGATACCTCAATTTGTACTGTACACAGCAACCAGAGTGGTAGTGTCTGTTACAGGGATAATAAAATCACTCCATATTACTTTTCTGCTTAAAAACCTTCATAACAGTAGTCTAAAAGATAAAATGTCTGGTGTGCTCCCATAATCTCTTGCTACTTACCTCACTCACTCGGTTCCAGCCACAATGGCATTTTTATTTTTCCCTTGAATATGTCAAACAAGTTTTAGGATATTTGTACTTGATCTTGCTTTAAATGTCATAATCCTTTATTTTCTTTAGATGTCAATTCAAACATCATCCTTCTCTAAAATCCTATATAAAGTAGAAAGCTCCCAGCTTTTTCTTGCTTTATTTTTCTTAGTCACATTTGTCACCACTTAACGTACTATGTCTTGTTTACTTATTGGCTCTCTCCTCCTGCTAGAATACAGGTTTCATAAAGGCAGGGTCTCTCTCTTATTTACTGCTCTATTTCCTGGGTCTAGTGCAATGCTTAGAACATAGTATGCACTCAGATTACATATGCTGAATAAGTAATTTTCTAGCAGAATATAAACTACCAAAATTGAACAAGAAACAGGGAATATATAAAACAGGTTTAAATATCAGTGAAAATTAGAAAAAGAAAATTAGAAAAGAAAATTAGAAAAAAAAGAATTTTTTTTTCCCTTTTTAAAAAAAAGACATCAGGCCTGACTGAATTCTGCTTTATGTACTCTTTAGTATATAATTCCAATATTATTTAAATTATTCTTGGCAAAAGTTGGAAAATTTCCTGAATGATTTGGACAGTTAGGTTAGTAAACAGAATGAAGTACTCAGACACAAATTCACACATATATGGACACTTAATTTTACAATAAGAGTGGTTCTTCACAGCAGTAATATGAGGATTTCTATTTTAAAATAAATGGCGTTATATCAACTAAATATACTGTCTGTACTAGATACATCCTTATATTTCTAGAATCAAACCAAGTTGCTACTTGTGGATATAATTATTGTTAGTTTTAAATTTATTTTCACATTTATATACATAAATAAAATATATCCACAATTTGCTTTCTTAGTAATATTTTCTTCTTGTTTTGGTATAAAATAAACTTTTACTACACAAATTGGATTTTGAAATGTATAATTCTTGATATAGCATTCTTTTGTTAGCCTGCTCGTGATACATATGTAGGCTAAGGAAAAGGCTGGTGTCTGTCAACTGCCACTGACTCCCTGACTACGCAAAATATCATAGTACCAAAATTAATCATTAACTATTTTGTTTTGTCCCAAAGATTTAGAAGGACAGTTTATACTTGTAGCTATATTGCTTTTACTAGTTTTGCCAGTAATTTTATTACATAAAGAGCCTTACTTTTTTACATTACATTCTGTATTATAGTGAATATAGGATATTAAATTATACTTTGAAAGATTTTATTATCGTTCAACATGTGTTTAAGACTGCTTAAAAGGTAGTATAAAGAGGACTGCTGTAGTATAAAAAGGAAACATTTCTACAGAAGGTAAGCAAAATCCAAAGCTTTTACTTACACAAAGATTGATTGTAAGTAATGGAAAATCTTGCTTTCTGAAGAAAATGTGAGGGGAAAAGTTCCTGATACTAAGAGCTATTAAATGAGATTTGATGCTTTTTTTTAGCATCAGACAATGCTGTATTTACTCATGTAATTACCATTGAAGGAAATTGTTTGCTGAATTCATGTTTTTGATTCATCTATTTATGTCCTTATTTTTTAAAGTGTAAAGAAAGAATGAGGCCTGTCAAAGCAGCTCTGAAACAACTTGATAGGCCTGAGAAAGGCCTGTCAGAAAGAGAACAACTGGAGCATACTAGACAGTGTTTAATAAAAATTGGAGACCATATCACAGAATGTCTGAAAGAGTATTCAAACCCTGAGCAAATTAAGCAATGGAGAAAGTAAGTGATATACTTTTCATTTTGTAATTTTGTAACCATGTTTCATCTCTTCTATTTCAGTTTATTTTTCTACTTCTGAAGTTTAGGTAACAAATACTGTCTAAAGAGTTGACCTGTGGATAATTGTTTTTATTTTTTTCCTTTAACTTTAAAGCTTTTTATCTGTGAGTGATCAGTTAATTATGCATCATGATAAACTACAGGTGGCATTAAACAAGAACTAGTAAAAGCTATTTCATTAAAATTCAGATTGTTTTATTTTTTTAATCTCTGCAAGTCACCAAATTATCTCAGTAGTATCTGTAGAAATTGGTATGCCAAATAAATTTAGCAACTCATCTTCTGGGTATGAGCATAAAACCTTGTAAAAATTAATATCCTCAAGCATTGTAAGATGCAGACTTCTAATTTCCCCTTTATTTTAGAAGCAGCAGTAGCACAGTTGATCTTAAAATTATAGATCTGAGCTGCTATAATACTATTACACAAATCACTTAATAATTTTACCAAATCCAGGTCAGAGTTATGCCAAATCACTAGACAAGTTAGAAAAAAAAAAATTGACTATACAGTCATTCCTATCAGTATATTAGTCTACTGATTTCCTTGTTATATGCAGTGCCAGCTATACATCAAAACAAAAACTGTGATGACATATTTCTGAAGGAATGATGACCATTATACTAAAGTTTTAAAAAAAAACACTATTCTTGTTCTCTTCTTAAATTCAGCCAGGACCCATTTTTTAGAAGATAAGAAGTTGATCATGGTCACTAGGCTCTTGAAACACGTAAAACTGAATTATCATGCCTAAAGAAACTGAAGCCATTCATGGACAATAACAACATCCTGAAGTCATGTGCTTAGAATGCCACAGAATGATCACTGGGGTTTGCATCAGAAGAATGCTTCATCCCTATCTTGGCTGATTTTTGGCTTTGTGAGCCTGAACAGTTAGTTACCAATATCTCTAAGCTTCGCAGTATGAACATCTGTAAAATGGCAACATCTGTACTTAAAGCCTTTTGTAAAGCATAAGGCACTACTTTTTTCAATTATTGAATGATAATACAATACATTATGAGAAATGAGGCAATAAAATAATCTTAAGTAATGTACTCAGTGTCTCACTTAATCTTTTACTTACGGTTGGAATATATATACTGGAGCTTTAATGCTTTCTTTAAATACCATGAAACAGAATTATTCCATCCTTTTCAAGTTCATTCAATTCATGATCATCCCCAAAGCACAGAGCCATAGAACAGGAGGAACACAGTGAAGTTCAATTATATATATTAGGCTTAAATGGGAATAGAGCCAAATTCTCTTTTTCTTTTCAAGATGCAAAATTCAATTTTGTCTGTCAATGGCTCCAAACGTTTCTTTTTAATGCATTAGTTAGCACCCTTCTTTCACAAGCTTAATCTGTATCATTTAGTGGTATCTTTACTCAGACTACTAAGTAGCTAGTTCTAGTTCTTTTTATACCTTATCTGAATTATAATAAGTCCCTTCCTGACTTCACATCTCTTTGATTTCAAATTAGGATTAATCACTTCATTTCACTCCAAATACTATAAAATGAAGGTGTTTGGAAGGGAAGTAAAACTTAGTAATGTTTAGTTTTATTTAGAGTCTTAACCATACATGAAGTTGTGAAAAAATGCTAGAAATAATCTCTTTAGACTTTGTTCCATACAGGGCTAAGTATGTATGTTGCTGTCAAGATGCAAAAGGTTCTGTGAAAAACCAGACTAATTCACCTTTTCTTCTTCTAGAAACCTGTGGATTTTTGTATCTAAGTTTACTGAGTTTGATGCAAGAAAATTACATAAATTATATAAGCATGCTATTAAAAAACGGCAGGAATCTCAGGTAAATTAATGCATCATATTTTTTATTTATGTTATTAAAAATGAGACATTTTGCCTTAAAGAATTCAGTTGATAAATATAGAAGGATAAAGGAAACAGAAAATAACTATTAGAGCACCACAATAAAAATTGTTGCAGGTAAGATTCTCTGAAGAAAGCTATAATTGGTAGGCAGGGAAACAACATAGGGCATATTCAGAAATAACTGTTCCATGGTTTTTACTAATTACAAAGAGAAAAATAATAATTTCATAGTGGAGAAACCTGCCTGGCACCTGACAGCACCTTAAGCAAGTGATCAGGGTTAACATCACTAGTAAGAATACATACAAATACATCATGAACCCCCTAATAACGATGCATTGAGAAAGGTATATCACTTCTGTGGAATTCTTGGCAAAAATACATAACATCTATCATGTGCAAATACCAGACAAACCCCAACTAAGAGATAGTCTACAAAATAACTGTGTAGTACTTCTCAAAAGTGTTAAGGTTATGGAAGATAAACAAAAAGCTAAGCTGTCCCAGACTCAGGGAAAGTAAGAATACATGAACACAACGTACACTATGGAGTTCCATATTGGATCCTGGAACTGAAAAAGGACCTTAGTGGAAAAATATGAAATGAGAATGAAGTTTGTACTTTTAAGTCAGTAACATTGTACCAGTGATTCTTAGTTTTGATCAGTATACTATGATTATAAAAAATATTAACATTACAAGAAGTTGGATGAAAGACATGGGGACTCTTGGTACTATTTTTACAAATTTTCTTTAAGTCTAAATTTCAGAGTCAAAAGTTTTTTAGAAGTCATGGGACAAATAGTTTATGCTTTAAAAAAAAAGACACCTGCCTATGTACGTGAGGACTTCTTTCAGTCTCAAGATTTTCTTTTTAGGAATTTTTTTTCCTGTTTTGTAATAGTTGAAGCCACTCAAAAGATTCTTATGTATGTGCATTTTTTTTTAGCAAATCAATGACCAGAACAGCAACTTGAATGTTCAGGTGATTAGAAATCCAGGTAAGTAGTCTAATTGTTTTGAAAAGTAATTATTTTTTGGGGGGAGTTTGTTTTAGATAATCCATACCCACATTATTATATTTAATCTGTTATCTTAAACAATAATCCTTTTTAATTTATTAACCATTCTGTAAGTCAATCTTTTACTGGTCTCTAGAAATCTTAGAAAAATTGTTAAAATGAATGTGTTTTTAAAAATTATTTGGAATAAGACCCTCTGTACAGAAGTCAAAAAAGCGAAGTCTGTCTAGGAAGGAACTGGGCCTTATATTTTCAGTTGTGATTTTTCAGAGTAGAGTGACCCTTTTATAAGCCTTAGTATTGCTTTTAAAGACAATTTCTAAATGCTTTTAGAACTGTCTGTATTTGGCAGCTGATTTTGTTAGCTAGAATTGAAACATGACTTCTTACAATCTAGCAGCAAAGTTACTTTTGTTTATCATGTATTTCTTTTTTTTAGTCATTAACAAAAGCTGGGCTCTTTTATCTAACAGATGTGGAAAGATTAAAAGAGAATACAAATCACGATGATAGCAGCAGGGACAGTTATTCATCTGATAGACATTTATCTCAGTATCATGATCATCATAAAGACCGACATCAGGGAGATTCTTACAAAAAGAGTGACTCTAGGAAAAGGCCCTATTCTTCTTTTAGTAACGGTAAAGACCATCGTGATTGGGACCACTACAAGCAAGACAGCAGGTAAACTCGACAATCAGATTTGAAATTGTGCTTATTCATATCTTTCTCTTTCTGATTTCATCTGCTGCATTTGACCTTAGGCAATTTTGTCTTCAAGTAATCAAAAGTCTTACGGTACAATAAAGATGTTTGCTTATAAATAAGAAAAAACAATATGTAGTACTTTTTGTTAATATTAAGAACTGCATTTCTCTATAAAATGGTTATGAATTTAAGATCAAAGTTTAGTAAGAGGAAAGTATAGGAAGCTCTATAATTACAAATCATGAGATTATTGCTATTTTATAGTAATTGGTGGAGACTATTGGAGAGAATATTGGCTTAAATTCGCTTCAAAATATAATAAAATAAATAAAAGTTTGATGGAAAATGACTAAAATTTGGTGGGAATTCTGTATTCCATTCCATTAAAAAAATCATGGAAGAAATTTACTTTCAGTGAAAACACCTCATAATTTAGGTTAAACCACAGCAATCTGACATAGTCCTGAAATCAGGAAGAATTTTCTCTATTATTGTTGTTTTTTGAAGCCTTTAAGTAGTAAACAATTTGAATTTAATAACAGCAATACATTTTATTCCCTTTATTAATAAAGTAATGGTTTCATTAGTTATTGATCATTAGTAGGAGGTAAGAAATAAACTGAGGGAAATAAAAGTAAAGACCAGAAATAAATTAGTAGATGTTCTTTGTATTTATGAACATATACTGTGCTCTCTGCAGTAATTTCTTCTCTCTGAGAAGCAGTCACATAATCTCATCAATAGGAGAAACACTCATAATTAGAAAAGGGCACAAAATGAAAAGGAAAAGCTATGTTTGTGTATAGTAAATATTTACAGTCTCATAGACTTACAGAACATAGTTGTTTGTAACAAGGGCCTTTCATGAACCAAAATATTATATGTTCAGTGTGTTTTATATGAAAAGGCTAACATTTAATAGATTACTCTTCATTAAACTGCCGTAATTACTTTTTTAGCGAACTGCCACATTTTTATATGGAGTAAATTTCACATTAATGATTCGTAGTCAGTTCTTATTCTGTAACTAAATCCAATTTAAGGAAGCTTTTAAAAGGCATTACCAACAATGAAAATTCTCTTTTACAAATTATTTTATAGACTGCATTTCAGAGACCTTTATTTTTTCCTGCTTAGAGGCTCATAAGAGACTCTGATCGTAAAAGAAAAGATTCTAGGTGATTGCAGTTACCGTAATTCCAACTTCCAGATAATTAAGATGCGTTACTACAAGTCATGTTTAGATAAAAAGTACCAACAAACCTAAAATGGGCATATGAAAATAAAGGCTATCCAAGGTGTTCCACATGGCTCACTTTAAAAGATTTATGAATCAAATAGTTTTTCCAGAGGCATACAGAGATATTTCCAGTGATTTTTAAGTTCACGCATGAAGTTTTATAATGAAATGCACTGAGCTTGTGTACAATTAAAAGTATGCTTTAAAGTATTTTTGTTTATTTTTTAATAGGATTTTTGTTTGGAAACCTCATTTGCATTATTAATTAAAATTTCCTAATTTCTCTTTTATTAGATATTACAGTGAGAGAGAGAAACGCAGAAAAGTGGATGATCACAGGAGTAGAGATCACAGGTTGGAAGGAAGTTTAAAAGATAGATCTCATTCTGATCATCGCTCTCATTCAGACCATCGGTTACATTCAGACCATCGGTCAAGTTCTGAATATATACACCATAAATCTTCCAGGGATTATAGGCATCACTCAGATTGGCAAATGGACTACAGAGCTTCCAATAGTGGCCCCAGATCACCACTAGATCAGAGATCTCCTTTTGGCTCCAGATCTCCATTTGAACACTCAATTGAACACAAAAGTACACCTGAGCATACCTGGAGTAGTCGGAAAACATAACAAAAACTGATACTTTGTCTTTCTGGACTTTTCTTTTAGCCATATATCATAAACCAACACAGTAATTGCCTTACATGACTTGAAAGATATAAACAGATCTTCTATCAGTAGCAGTATTGTTACTTCTTTCCAGGATGCAAGGTCTATTATCCCAACAGAAGAGAAAATATTTTTATATTTAAGGATTATGCTGCACTGTACTACAAATGTAGTACTTTTTTTTTTCTTTTTTTAAAGAAATGGAAAATGTTTACTATTACAGGGACCTCAACACTGCCCTTCCATGTAGGCTGGATAAAACTGTTTTTAAGTCAGTGATTTTAGACTGACCTCCATTTAAATTATGCTTGTATATGAACTTTACTCTGACCTGTGATCTCGTTTCAGGAAGGAATGAAAGAGAGTTCTTTTCTTAGTAAAGAAAAAACACTCAAGGACTTTGTTCACTTTCCAAAGCTACTTGTTTACATTGTACACTGCGACCACCTTGCCGCTTTTCATCACAAGCTTGAATATTTAAATTCTGTACTTATATCTGTAAAATAGCCAGGAATTTCCTGTTTGTGATCTAATATTATGCCTTTTTACACACACACACACACACACACAAACAAAATGGCTGTAAATTATTGTAAATGGATTAAACGAGCTTTCCTTACTTCCCCTTCTCAGGCTTTTTTTGACTGTTCCTTTCCCTACCAACTCAGGCCTTCTTATCATTTAAAAATATATATATATCAGTGTAATAACACTTTTTAATGATTTGTCTTGATGGAATTCTTGCTTAGAATGTAAAAAAATGGGGAAAGGGGCCACTTAATTCCATTAGTCCTCTTTTTATATTGACTTTTATTAGATACATGTTATTGCTTCCCTTTTTTTCCTTTTATAGTCAATATTGTGTTTGTAGTAATAGAATGGTGAGATAATATAAAATCTGAACTGCATGCTCTGGAAACTTTTTTCAGATGCATTTGGTTTAAAAGGGTAGGTGTATGAACACTTTCAGAATACAAAATGGCCAAAAGTTATTGTAAATCCATTTGTTTTCCCTTTTCATGTGGGCAATAATGTCAAATGTGCTATGCAGCCAGGTAACATTTTAGATAAACTTGATTGACTTTTAATATAAACTGTTAAAATGCACACTGATTGTATATAAAAACCTTATATATGACAAATTAAATTTAAGAAAAAGGATATGTGGGCTCCTGTAATTTTCTGCTGCATTCTTATTCCCTCAAGCACTTATTAACTTTTTTTTCAAGTAGTAACATTTAGCTTCCAGAAAAAGGATATTTTGGTAAACAGTTAATATTGTTAATGTGTAGCACTACAACTAAATTTATTTTGAAGACTATATGAATCTATGAAGTAAAATTTAGATCAAATAAATCTTTGTTGTAATCTTTTTGGTTTCTTGAAGATATTATTTTAGAATACCTTATATTTATTCACAGATTTTTATTTTGTTATATTCAGTGGGAATTTTTGAATCATGGATGTGTGCTGACACGTAACAAATTTGAATCTTTGACAAATATATAAGTATATTGATATAATCCTATATGACTCTTAAATGTGTCCCAATTGATTAGCTGTTGGAGCAATATACAGCGATTGGTCCACAGGTGGATTTATTAATATTTTCCTTTTATTTAGTTAGGTTTTAAATTTACACTATGTACAAAACAAAAACTTTCTTTTCCCACCTCCCACCTTTTTCTTTAAAGCAGTGATTTCTCTTTTAGTTACTCTGAAAAATGGTAATCTGTTTTTTCCTGGCATATCAGATAACATATGAGGAATAACTCAAGTTTTAAATATTACATATAAAAGTAGTAAAACAATTCAGTGCCAGTACACAGTTTTCAAACTTTTTCACTTTTTTCATATGTAGTATAAATGATTACTTTATTCCACAGGATAGCATTTAACAAAAAATTAAAATACTTAATGAAATTCTTAATGTAACGTCATAACTGGGTCAGTGTTGGCATTTTTAATTCATCACTTTGTAGCTGAGACTTTTGCATTATATCCTATTGTGCAAATTTCATAGAAGAAATTACATTTTTGAGACAATGGAATGGGCTCTAACTTTCTTACTGCTACATTTAGTTGAATATTTCAGTCAACTAATCAGCTGAGCTGAATGAAAAACCTAAAGCTGTATGTAACGTTTATTAATTGATGGAAAATGTGTTCATTATTTGTAAGAAGCCAGCAATCATGTAGAAAAGGAACAAGCCATAAATTTACGAAGACACAATGGAGAGCATTAATACATAGATTCAACAGGGAAGATGCTCTATAAAATATGCTTAATTTTTGTCTTTTACATGCTCATTCTGCTTTGCTATTTTCATCCATTTGTGTTTAATTCTTCAAGAATGAGAGACTATGCATAGTACTGTACCAAATAACCCTCCACTTTACTTTACAATAAATGATTCTTACTAAAAGCAAAATGGCCTGTTTGCTTATGAAGAAAATATTCTTTGTCTAGGAAATGTTAGAAAATAATTTGCAGACTGGAAAACGAGTGTGAATGATTAATTTCAGAGCAAGTTATGATTAATTTCAGAGGCTTATGAAATTAGAACCTTTACAGTTGCATAAAACAAAAGTATATTATACCTTTATGATTATTTTGTAACATGTTCTTGTGATTAATGAAAGGGTTGTATAGATTACTGTTTTAACAGATTTCATTTCCTTGAGATCAAGAATATATGCTAGAATATTTAAATGGCATAATTCTTATCTGCACCACATTACTCTGTTTCTGATGAGACAATTATCTTTACACCATAAAAAAATAACTTGACATAATAAATCTATAATTTATGACAGTTTTGGGTGGAGGTTGGGGTGTGGGTGAGGGTTGGAAAAGCAACTGATATTTAAATTGTAGTGTTTTTGTTGTTTAGGATTTGTCCACTTTATCAGAAACAAATGTGAACTTGTAAATGTGGCTTAAAATTTTGAGTAGATCATTACATACTAAATAATGCAAAAAATATTTTTAAATGTCTGGAATGTAGTTAAGCATACTAATAATATAGATGCCTCTATCAAACAGACTATTTAAATTCAAGATTAAATTTAAAAATACAAAGAAAATATTGCAGCACTTTATGCAAGGTTTGTGATGGTTGGAGTATGTGTTTAAGGGGAAGCATCTAGAAAGTGGTAGAAGAACAAAAATACCTTGTGACAAAATATGAAAACTTCTATGTTAAAATTCTCAAGGCATCTAATTTTAGATATTTAAAGGAAAACAATTTAGTTAAAATATCTCTTGGCAATGTCTGTAGTAAGAATACTTCATGCTAATATTTTCTTCTCTCTCTTTTTTTTTTAGAATCTAATAGGTTGATGTTTTACAGGAAGTCTTTGGATTATTTATAAAGAAGGACCTGGGAATAGGAAATACTAGCTATGTTAAATAATGAAAGAGGAGGATTACTCTGTAAATTAGGATTAAAAAATACTTCTCATATTTTTCCAACCCAGTGTGTCTTCATGTGCCAGATTTTCTATCCTAAAAGGCTATTAGTCACATTGTCCTTCAGTTAAAAAAATTACCCAACCTTTATTTGAAACAGGATTGGTAGTTCTAACTCCCAAATGAATGCAAAGTTTTGATTCTATGCTCCACTCTACATATCATTTTTTATCTAAATATTAAAAGAGTTGTAAACAGTCAAAAAACCCCAGCTCATAGGGTTTCTCTTAAATGAGCTAAGGATATTGTTTGCATGAATGACATATGCATTCTTTATCTAGCAGAAATGTGGGTTACATTGTGATTTCATTATTGTAGGCTGCTGTTAGCTTTCCAGTCTGTAGATGACTTAATCAAACTGGAACTCATTACTTGTTTTCTCCTGTTTATTTTTCAAATCTTTTGTCTCCGGTGCTCTGCAGTTTCACTTTACTGAGTCTAGGTATGTTATTTATTTTCTTTACTCAGGTCTTGCCTCTTGGACAGTTCTTTTTACTTTCAGAAATTTCTGTGGTGTTGCTACCATACGACTTTCGGTTTCTGTCCTCAACAGCTTTACTATTTTCCCTTCTCTTTCCATTTCTGTGTCGAGTGTCTTCAGCCTCCATCACTCCCCTGAACTCATCTACACTTGGATATCTAATAGGAATCTGATCTTAAAATACCTAAAACTAGACTCAGCCCTTCACCAGTGGCAAAATATTTTTAAACTTCCAATGTTATACAATTTTTTATAATTAAATGGACTTGGCATTCACAACTCTGTAATCTAGGACACTTTCCCTCTAGTTCTTTTTGCCTCACTCCCACTACTCTGGGTGTTTACACTATTTTTCTATCAAAAATGCTCTTACCTCCAGTTTGTACAAAGCTTGTTCTCTCAATTCAGGTCTGAGCTCAAATTTCATCTCAGGTGTCCAAATTAGTACCTGCCTCTATCATTTTTATGTCGCTTATCTTGCTTTTCACCTGGTATTCACCTTCATTTGACTTGTTTTCCATTTGCCGTTGACTGCCTCCTCACTGGTATGCGGGTTCCTTTGGGACAGGTGGTTTATTTTGTTGACTGCTATATTCCAAGTTCCTAAGACAGTTCCTTACTTATCAATTGTGTTTTGTCCATTATTTTGGTGTCTTCCAGAAGTGCTATGTCCCATAAATGGCCAGTATTAACCAAACATTCTGTCTTGCCATTGTTACCTGATTTGTTACTGTTATTGGGAACTTTTGTATGCTTTATCAGTTATCTCTATTGTTAGAGTCTACTATATTCCAGGCTTTAAACTTACTAATAAAAATCACGTGAGACACTTGAAAACTATAGAAGCACTTATGTCTCATTTCTAGGAATTGAAATTGGCAGAGAAAGTCCCCAAGTAATATGATTTTAGGGATTTTAATGTTCATTTTACTGGCTTGAATAATACAGATTAATTTCACTGTTATTTAAATAATGGTTATGCTCACATGTAAATAAAAAATTGGTTTCTCTAACTTAACAACTACTTAGGAAATATGATACTTTGCAAGAGATATTCAGAGATGTGGCATATAATGGGAAAATAAAAATGTTTGTATATTATACCTTTATCTTTTGAAAGGAAATGTTTTTAGATGACATGATGCACTATCTTTCCTACTCACAACTAAAGGAAAGAACACAACTTGTAAAGACACTATAATGCAAGACAAATACATTGCACTACCAATGTTTTTGACATGAAAAAGCAGACATTCCCCTTTTGCTGGTACATGCTTTTTTCCCATTTAAAATATTTAGGTCTTATTTACATGAGGTAAATTCATACTTTATATAGGTATACACTGTGGTAAGCTTTGACATATTATGCAGTTAAGCAACCACCAACATTTAAGATAAAAAATATTTCCATCACCCTAAAAAAGATGCTACTTTCCCCACTCCTAGCCCCTGGCAACCACTGATCTGTCCCTATAGTTTCATCTTTTCCATAATGTCATATAAATGGAATCACACAGAATATAGGCTTTTGAACCTACCTTTCACTTAGCATAATGTTTTTACAACTCATCCATGTTTTTGCGTTTATCAGTACTTCATTACTTACTATTACTGAATGGTATTCTTTGTATTTCATATAGTACAATTTGTTTATCTATTAACCAACAAGGTTTCCAGTTTTTTGGCCATTATAATAAAGATGCTGTCAACATTAGGTCTTTGGGTAGACATATTCTAATTTTTCTTTGGTAAGTATTTTGGAGTGGGATTGCTGGGTTATATGATAAAGTATATGTTTTACTTTATAAAAACTGCCAAACTATTTTCCAAAGCAGATGTATCACTTTACATTCTCACAGCTATAGATGAGGGTTTTTATTACTCTATGAGCATTTTGTATTGGAAGTTTTTTTCATTTTAGCCACTCTGATAGGTGTATAATAGAAACAATTTGCATTTTCCTAGTGACTAATATTCAGCATCTTTTAATGTGTTTATTTGCCACCCTTCTCTTTGTTAAAATATTCTCTTCAAATTTTTTCCAATTTTATGAAATAGAATTGTTGATACAAGCTGTCTGTCAGATAACCACAAATACTTTCTGTTGGCCTGTGGCTTGGCTTTTCATGTTCTTAACAGTGTCTTTTGAAATGCATAATTTTAAGATTTTTATGAAGTCCAGTGTATCCATATTTTTCTCATTTCTAT